AGGAAAAGAAAAGTGGGAAGGGAAGAGAAGAGGAGCAGTCCCGTTGGGAACCTGGTTTGTTCCTTGGGACCTTTGTTGCTCCACCCTCCCCGAAATAAACGACTGGTCTTATTTCGACTTTTAAAAAAACAACTTATCCCTTCCCTTCCCTTTCTCTCACACACCCCCCCAAACAACAACAGCAACAACGGTTCCATGCGAAACGATCTCTGCAAATGTTCGACTCCCAGGGACCCGGGAATACCCTTCCCCTCCCTTCCCTTGCCTTGCCAAAGGATGCTTTTGTTCCGTTCTGGTTTAACGAGCCCTCTCCCTTTGTACGATCCGACGATCTGGAGTGAATTCAGAGGAGGCGAGGGATTTTTTGCCAAGCGGGAACTTACCCTCCTTTCTCCTTGGCTCCTGGGGAAGCGCCCTCGGTTGTGCCGGGCAGGCAGCGCATAGAGCAGCTGCGGAGCCATCGGAGGGAGCAAAGTAGCGGGGTCAGGACTCTGCCCCGGTGCCGCCAGGCCCGGACAACAGGCGGCCTTTGGGCCGAGGGGTTCTGCACAGGACGGTGCAGGATCGGTGGCCTCGCGGCTCTTTGACAGGCCCCCCTGTAGGCGCCCTCCCCAAAAAGGGTCGGTGTTCCTGGAAAGCCGTCGGGCACAGCCCGGGAGATTTGGCGCTGTCACCTCTGGATCACAGCAGTGTATTTGTCTGAGCACCCAGGGGCAGTTTTTAGGATACAGTATAGAGTTAACCCCCTCCCCTCCCCATCCAAAACGGACCGTTCAGAATCCATGCAATTTAATCCCGTTTTGCAAAGGTGCAAAAAGAGGAATAATAGAAACACAAACAGGACGTGGTCGTTTTGTCATTTCTATCGTCAGAAAGTATCCCTTGTCTTGTGGAAAGGCACATCTGCAGTAAGATGAAGACCCTGTAGCGGCACAAAGTAGTGCCACACAAAAGACTGTATCCTTAAATTCCATTTTAATTAACCTATCCATCTGGATTAAGCACATGGTTTTACATAATAATCAGCACAGATTAGAAGGTCCCCCATGACTGTAAACCTGCACCAAAAATGTAGCAGGAGTGCAACCTTGCAAATGTCATTATCTTGAACTATTCCAATTATGAGTCCAAAGTGCAATTCAGAGGTCCTAGAGGTACATAACTTTTGCTATATAACCTTTACTGTGATCCATGAAATAGGCTGATATCTACTGATTCAATCCATTTACTGACAAATTTACTTACTTTATTTATTTACTGACAAATCCACATTTATTTTCTATATTTAACACCATCTGCCCTGCCTGGCCCAGACAGATAATAGCTTAATAACAAAAAGTGGATCCTTTGCATGCAGAAAGTTCCAGGTTCAGTGTGTGGTATCTCCACATAGGGCAGGAAAAATATCTTGTCTGGAGGGCTGTTTTGGGTCAGACTCAAGGCCTAGGTAGAACAGCCTTTCTCCTCCTGGCAGCCCCCCCCCCCGCCTGCCCCAATGCCCAATGGTTAACCTTAAAAAATCCATCCTCCTCAGACAGGATCATATTTGGATGTAAGGATAGCTCAGTGGTTTAGGTCTCTGGCTGCAGAGCCAAAAGTTGGGAGTTTGATTCCTCCCACTGTGCCTCACTGACAGGGATTGGATGGTGATCCATAGGGTCCCTTCAGCTCTGCAGTTGTAAGATAAGAGTGCAACATGTCTTCATGTCTTCAAGCTGGTATGGGCAATATTGAGATAGGCCAACAGTATGATGGGCCAAGGATCTGAGAGAGTCTAATTCAGCTAGCTCCCCATTTGAATGCTCTTTGACCCTCACCAGACCCTGATCTGACCTCCTGGTTCATACCCAGTTGGAGCCCTTGCTTTTCTCCTCACTAGGAATCCCAACATGTTGCCCAACCAGGAACCTAGCTACTAACAACCATACTGAAAAAGGAAAGTCTTTTCCATCATCAGCCCTAGGAAGCTGCTTTATAGGAAAACCTGACCTTGTCTCTCACATGGGACTAAACATTACTAGCTGCTCCTTTGTGATTTATGAAAATGTCACCTCAATGTTGTTGTTTAGTCATAAAGTCATGTCCGACTCTTCGTGACCCCATGGACCAGAGAATGTCAGGCCTTCCTGTCTTCCGCTGCCTCCCAGAGTTTGGCCAAATTCATGTTGGTCGCTTCCGTGACACTGTCCAACCATCTCGTCCTCTGCCGTCCCCTTCTCCTCCTGCCTTCACATTTTCCCAACATCAGGGTCTTTTCCAGGGAGATTTCTTTTCTCAAGAGATGGCCAAAGTATTGGAGCCTCAACTTCAGGATCTGTCCTTCCAGTGAGCACTCAGGGTTGATTTCCTTCAAATTGGATAGGTTTGTTCTCTTTGCAGTCCAGGAGACTCTCAAGAATCTACTCCAGCACCACAATTCAGAAGCATCAATTCTTTGGCAGAGAGACCTTCTTTATGGTCCAGCTCTCACTTCCATACATCGCTACTGGAAAAATTCATAGCTTTGATTATGCGGACCTTTGTTGGCAAGGTGGTGTAACTGTATCAAATGATTATGTAATGTTCTTGTGTTTTATTGTTTTTTCCTATACTGGAAGCCGCCTAGAGTGGTCGAGTAGACCAGATAGGTGGGATATAAATGAATGAATGAATGAATGAATGAATGAATGAATGAATGAATAAATAAATAAATAAATAAATAAATAAA